TTGACATACTAAAAACCCATTGCACACAATATATTCTTGGCCTCATAACAACAATCTGAAAAATTGATATCTTCGGGTAGCATTTGTTTCAACAAATCAAGCAACTTTGTGAAACTTTTATCCGACCATCCACCTTTTGCCTTCAGATTAAACAATTTTAACAACACAGACAATCATGTAAAATTGGTGCACCTCGTATATAACGACAAATCTTTGTCGCTACATAATGTATCGTAAATATGCACTTTCATATAAGATGATTCTCCAATATCACAAATCATATCTTCAAGTCAATCATCCATATATTCATCATCTTCATCCATTTGTGATGTTGCATTTAGATTATTATCCACTTCTCCATGTCACATCTATGTTGTATAATTTTTATATATTCCATCATAAAATAGGTAATGTAATATTTCTTTCTTCGACAGTTTATTGATATTCCCGCAAACAACACAAGGACAATAAAAGACACAATTATTGTCGGGAACTTTTTTTTTGCGAATTCAAGGAATTTAAGAACTCATTTCTCTTAGACAGAGCCTAATTTATCAGCTTTCATCCAACTACGATCCATAACAATTTCTAAAATTTATATCAATAAAAGACTAATGTGAATGACACACTAATACTACACACAAAACATCCTAATATGATTATATGCATATCCATATCCAACACCAAACTTAAAGGATATTCATAAAATCTATAAAATATGAACAATAGACATGAAAATTTCGAAGAACATAAACAGAGAATTCATTGATTCATGAAATATCAAATAAACAAAAGTATCATTTACGCGTTTTAAAAAAGAAACAAGTAACCCTAACGAAGAACTTAAACATTCTGAAGCTTTGAAGAGAGAGAATTGTAACGTACCAGAAATGATATTTGAAGAGGATGGTGAAGATGGTGAAGAATTCGCTTCCAGAAATGAATGAAGATGGTGATAATTTCGATATCGATGTCATCTCATTCGCTAATGTACCAGAAATGATATTCGAAGAGGATGGTGAAGATTTCGCTTCCAAAAATTATTTCGCTTCTAGAAAGAATGAAGACAGTGAAGATTTCGCTATCGTTGTCGTCTCGTTCGCTAACGTAACAGAAATGATATTCAAAGAGGATGGTGAAGATTTCGCTTCCATAAATGAATGAAGACGGTGAAGATTAACATCCCGTTCGTTAGGGTACCCTTGTGTGTTATGAATGAAATAAAGTACTTCTTATGTTTTAATTTTGTGGAAAAGACTTTTACAACGGTTGTTATCTTCAACTATAGTGAAATATAGAACATATAACCACCATTGATTGAAACAATGGTAGTTGTTATAGTTTCAATTTTTAAATAAAAAATAAATATTAAGGGATCCACGCTTATTTTTACTGAAAAAATAAAAAATATTGATATTAGGATTTGAATTTTTTCACTCAAATTGTACGACAATGATTTTTTAAAAGAATCGTAATGAAAAGTTTTTTGATATAATAAAAAAATCATGTGCGTAAAAATAGAAATATAACTACAATGACAGTGGTAATATAGTGTTATCGTATATATATTTTATTGAAGTGAATAGTGACTAGTAATTATTCAACTAAACATTTGCATAAAATAACATATAAAATATTTTCACAATATAATCATTATTAAAAATAGATAAATACAGCCCTCTTATATTTGTTTCAACACAAGGAAGATAAAAATCCAACAACTAACTTCAAAATTATATCAACATCACAAATATAGATGTTCTATTTTTTTAATGTAATACAACCCTCTTATATTTGTTTTAATTGAAATAAATTGACATTATAAAAAAATTTAAATTTTTATAGATGTTCTATTTTTTTAATTACCATAAAATACTACCTTCGTCTCTAATTATAAGATTTTTTTTGATTTTTTCCTTGTCCCTTTTTATAAGACTCTCTTCAATTTTTAAAGTGTAATAATTATTTTTTTTCCAAACATATATCCTTAATTATATTACATATTTTTCTATAATATATAATAAATAAAGTTACATACACATTAACTGTTTTTTTCTCCTAAAGATAATATAGTAAAATTATACAAAATAGTTAAAAAAAATTATTACTTTAACAAACTTTCTTAATTCCCGCAATTTACTCTACAAAATCTTATATTTAAGGATGAATATAATATTATCTATTATCTATCATCTATTATAATGTATTAATTCAGAGACATAAACCATCCGATAGAAAATTCAATATCTCTCAAATCATTTTATTGACGATTCATAATCTCTCATGACACATCAATTAAAATAAAACAATATTATTTATATACTTTACAAGTTAATTCTCTATTTTATTTTTCATATATTAATCATTAAATTTTTTTTTAATCTATCATCTTTTTTCGTATAAAATATATAATATAATATTTTACTCCATCAAAATTATAAATAAAAGTTAAATAATAAATTAAAATGAGTATTATATTGTTTAAAATATATCTATGTATTAGAGTAATATATTAATTTTGAGACACGAACCATTTGATTGAATTCATCATCTTTCAAACTATTTGATTGACAATTCAACATCTCACATGCCACACTAATTAAAATATAATCTAGCTCTCTTCAAAGTTTATTGATATAAAACTTTTAATATTCATTTTAACATTGCTTAAAATAAAATATTAAAATAATACTTTTAATTTTGCTATAGACAAACAAATACCTTTCTAAAACATAATTCTTAATTGTAATTATAAAATAAAATGAGTATTATTTTTGCTTAAAATATATCTATATATTATCTATTATAATATATTAATTCTGAGATAAATTATTTGATTGAATTCATTATTTCTCAAACCATTTAATTGACAATTCATCATCTCTCATCCCACACTAATTAAAATATGATCCGCCACTCTTCAAAGTATATCAATAAAAAAATTAATATTCATTTTAACATTATTTAAAATAAAATTGTTAAATAATACTTTCAAAATTTAATTTATAACTTTGCAATAGACAAAGAAATGTCTTTCTAAGATATGATTGTTAATTGTAATTATAGTTACGTGTAATTACGGTGTGAAATCGTTCAAATGTGAAACATATTCAATTTATAAAACGATGAAAACACATTTTTGGAGATAATGAAAAAAAAATGATAAATGAAACATAAAAAACTAAAATTTTATATTTTTATTTCACATTTATCATTTTTAATTCTGATGTCTTATCTTACATTTCCATAATTAAAAAAAATCACTTTAAATTGAATTTTTTTAAATATTCTCTTCAACTCTTCGTTTTAATTAGAATATTTTTTATACTAAACATAACTAACATTTATCTAATCTAATAATATTTAAATAGCTAATCTCAATCTCGTGCATCACAAAGATGTTATTAGTGTATAAATTATTTTATAATATCCGTACATAACAATCATTCTGATTAGATATTATATACCTAATTAATTTTAGGGGTGTTCGCGGTGCGGTTTGGGCGGTTTTAAGGCAAAAAATCATTCGAACCGCAAGAGAAAAAAACATGCGGTTCGGTTTGGTTCGGTTGACTTTTAAAAATAAATTCAAACCAAACCAAATCAAACTAATGCGGTTTGGATTGGTTCGGTTATTTCGATTTTTTACAAAAATAATTATTATGTCATACATACAATATATAAGAAAATATAATTTTATATTTAATTGTTCATACATTACCATAAAAAATTTATAATTATCAAAATAAATTTATAATTTGAAACAAAAAATTGCGTATTATAATTTTATCTAAATCTAAATAATGATATCAACAAAATTGCATTCTTAAATAAATATTATACAAAGAATATGATAAAATATATTTTGTGAAAATAGTATTTATAAATGAAATTTTTATGATTTGTAAATTAAAATTAATATAATACAAAGTATGATAAAATATACACATAATACATGTTGATTTCTCTAAAAAATTATAGAAATATATATTGGTTAGTAAGATTTTATAACATAATGCGGTTTTGTTTGGTTTGGTTTGGTTTGTAAAATACAAACCGCAAACCGAACCGAACCATGCGGTTCTACGAGAAAATGACCTAAACACATCCAAACCAAATGCGGTTTTTTGCAGTTTCGATTTGATTCGATTCGATTTTGTGATTTTCTATTGGGCCGATTTGATTTTGAACACCCCTAACTTTTATGTTGAAGACAAAAGTATATAAATGAAAAAGTTAGTTTTTAACCATAAAACTTACATTTCGTACGGAATACTTTCATCTCCCCACTATATTTTTACAACATCGATTCTATCAAAATGCAAAGTTCCATGTTTTGGATGACCAAAACACATTGATTTTTCCTCTGTTGGAATTGTTTTTCTAAAAATGGAAGGAATAAAAGCAACTTTCAAAATAATTATAAATAAAAAAAAAACTAATGTATAAATTCAGAAAATAATTAGAAGAAAGTGTTGAATTATGTGAGACATAAACATTTTTTTTTTGATAAAAAACAAACATTATATTACTGTTGTTAAGATTAACAACAATCTAATGTTTACGTCCTTTATAAAAAAGCAATAAAAGAGAGAAAGAAGATTAGGAATTTAGATTGTGTAAATTGAAATATTCAGTTATCTACCTATGCAGGTGAACTACTAATAAATAATAATTACATGATTTGACCGATCTTCAATTAGCCAAATAATTTAAGCAAATACTCAACATTGTGTGACACTAAATCAAAGTGTGTTGTTATGCAGAGTCCACAACATACGAATCTTACCTACTCTTTCATTTTGCATTTGATTAGATAAGTTAGTTGAGCTTCTAAACCGACCATGAATGACACATAATAATTTTCATTCCCCTTCACTTCTCTTATCAATATTCTCTACCTATAAATCCCAACTCAACATTAACATTTTCGAAATCCAATTTTCTAGTCCTAGTCTTAAATAAACCTCAAAAGTTCTGTTGATTCTACAAAACTACAAATGGCAAATTCTATGGCTCTATCTCACCTAGCTATAATTTTGGCCATTAATATTTTCATGGCTGGACCAACCTATGCACAAATCAATACTCCATGTAACCCTTCAACACTAAGCACTCTCTTCACACCTTGTATGAGTTTTCTTACAAATAGTAGTGCTAATGGAACTTCACCAACAACTCAATGCTGCACTGCTCTTAAGTCTCTCACAAGGGGTGGTATGGACTGTTTGTGTCTCATTGTTACGGCTAGTGTTCCGTTCAAGATTCCGATCAATCGAACACTGGCCGTCTCTCTTCCCCGTGCATGCAAAATGCCCGGTGTTCCGGTTCAATGCAAAGGTAAAAAAAAATTTCAGTTTTTTTCTTTTGTTTGTAATTTTGTTGAGTAAATTATGTTTTTTTATAATAAAATTAAGATGTTACTTTTTATGATTTTGCAGCCTCGGCTTCACCTCTTCCTGCTCCCGGTAATGCCAGTAAACAAATTGAATGTAACTACATGTATCAGTATCATAAGACACTGATACAATTTTCTCATTTTTACTAAACTTGTACATGATTTTGATGTACACATTCACAGGACCAGTGGCTCTAGGACCATCTCCTTCACCTGCATCATCTCCTTCTCTCTCAGGATTGACTCCAACTCCTAGTCCTCAAGGTTATTACACGAACTATTCACGCATTTATTCGTTTAAACCTTTCATAGTGTGTTACTAACATAAAACTCATATTTTTCCATGACCAGCATCTTCTGACATCCCTTCTCCAACTTCATCTCCTTTGGCACCACAACAAAACACAAATCTTCCTCTTTTGACTCCACCATCTCCATCCTCTACATCTACAACGGGTAGTGGCCGCTCTTCTCTCACACCATCTTCTGCAATGACATCTTACAATGTCTCACCTTCTGTTTTATTGATTACACTTGGATTTCTTACTCTCAATTACTACTAGATATTGTGTTTGACATATACCTATATAGGTTGTTACTTGTTAACTATATTTTTTGTAGTGTGGCTATTGTATTATATTGTATTGGAGTTATATTTATAGATTATGTAAGATAATGGAATGAATGTCTTGTTACTATTCTATTCAATCTTTGAGTTTATTAAGATAAGCTAGTAAGACAAATAGAAATGTTAATAAAAATCTCACCGAGGACTTATGACTAAGGACTTATCTATGATTTTTTTCAAAGCAAATAGAATTATATATAGGCATTAAAGGCTTAGATTAAAATATAATAAAATTAAAACTGGCACAAAAAATGAAGAAAAAAACAAAAAACAAATCAACAAAGCCTAACTTTTATTGGCACCGCCCAAACCCTAATAGCTACTTACACCCGACACTCCAATCTTCATATTAGAGCCTTCAAATGCGTAATATTTATTGCCATCATAAAAAAACTCAATTGTCATTGTTATTACTCACCGTCTAATTTTTAGAAAATTTCTTTGTATATCTTTTAAGAGAGTGAAAAAATTTCTCAAAACTCAAAAATATTTTTTAGAGGTGTATCTCTGAATGCACTTCAAATCAAGGTGTTTCGGAGATACATCTCCGAACCTAAAATAAATTTTGAAAAGAATTCGGAAATACAGTTCCTAAAATATCATATTTATAGCTAAACGTTAAATTAAAATATTCAAAAATATTTTCAGTAATGTATTTCCAAAATTATGCAACTTGTTGTACCCCAATTTTTGCCCCTAAGATTCCCCTATCATATCATGTCAACTTGATCATAACAAGATCACATTAGGGTTGGTTCTTCCTCTTTTTTCTTATCTTTAAGTTTGTTCTTGAGGAATCTCCAAGCACCTTGGTTGTGTATTTTGTATATGTGTTGTTGACTAACTTCTAATCAAAATAAAAAAATATTTGTCTTTGACTTTGCATATTTGTGTTTTGTAGGTACCAAGTCGAAGCATCTGACAAATAAGGATTTCTGGTATCATTTTCCTAAAATCTCTATTTGCAAAGAAAAAAAAAGAATTAAAAATTTTCATTTTTTTTCACTGTACAATCGATTGCTCCTAGAGTGCAATCGATTGTACAAAGTGAATTTTGCACAATTTTTGGAAAAAATACACTGTGCAAATCGATTTGCAATATAGTGCAATCGATTTGCATAGAGTGAAAATTGAAAAAAAATCAGCATTTTAAACTTGTCAAATGTTTGGCTCCAATTTTCCTTCACTTTTGAAAGATGTATAATTAATTCAAATTTTAGTGCCAATCTTTCATTTTTAAAAAGAATTATCATTAATTCAAATTTTGGCTCTAATATTTGAAATAATTATCATTAATTCAAATTTTGCCTCCAAGAATCAATTACCAAATTACCACTAATCCCAATTCAAAACTCTATAAATAGAGCCCTCATTTCATTCAAATTTCAAGCTTTTGATAGCCAAATCCACCTTGCTAAAAAATCTCTCAACTCTCTCCATCTACCAAATTCACTCAAAACTCCATTTTCAAAAAAGTTAGTAAGCTTTGCATTGAAGCTTACTAATCTTTGAGCTAAACCTTCATCCAAATATTTTTTCTCCATCAATTCTCTACATCCAAGCTTGGTCAATTGATTCTTGTGGTTGAATTGAAGCAAATTCTTGAAGTTGTTTTGATAATTCTCTAGATCTACCTTTGGTAAGTTTGGATAATTCATCTTTCACAATGTGATCTCTTGGTGATCTTTGGGATTGATTCTTTGAGCATTATTTTGTGATTCCAATGGTGTTATTTTCTCATAATTTGATGGAATTTTCGTGCTCAAGTGGATCTATGATCATAAGGTGTTTGATGAAAAGTTTGAACAAGCAATTGCCCTTTTAAAATGCTGTTTTTGCTACTGCTTCTGTGTGCAATCGATTTACATAGTAGTGTAAATCGATTTACACAACACGATTTTGCATAATTTTTTGAAAATTATACTGTGTAAATCGATTTACATAGTAGTGTAAATCGATTTACACCTGAACAGAATGTATTTTTTGTCTTGTTTTGGGGCAGCTTTGATCCAAAATGCTTTTTCTACTCACTCCTTTTGATTGTTGGTTTGGATTGCAATTTTAAATGTCCAATTTGTCTTTAAACTCAATGGACTTTGTGATGTAGATGAAGTTGGATAAATGTTCATCAATTCAAATCTACCTAAGAGTGAATTATTTAATTCATTTTGGTGCTTTGGATTAATGATATGTTTAGTGCTTTAATCCATCTAGAGGAGTGGTTGAATTTAAAGATGAAATAATTTTGAAATGGTGATCCAAATTAGCTTATCATTTCCCTCCCTCTTCATCTTATCCATTTCTTTTTTAATTGTGCTACATGTTAAGGGATAGTGATCTCTATATCATTTATCCAAATATGAAGTACATAGATTGCTATTGACCGGCCTCAAAATAGGTGCAACTTCTACATAAGTCCACTTACGATTGCTTAACATAGTGCTAAATTTTGTCCCGATTCGAATAAATGATCATTCGTGGCCCAAACTTATGATTGCAAGCCCAAGTATGTTAATTTGATCTCTTTGATCCAATAACCTTGAGATTTATTGTGTAGAGGCTTTGGTTCTACCAATCCTCTGATGGATTTACAACACCTTTGGTCAACGCGGATCACTTAAACATCGTTGATCATTACATGTTGCCTTGCGAGAATTCCAAAATGGATGATATACTTGACAAAAAGCAAATGCAACTTGTTGTGTAGAGGCTTTGGTTCTACCAATCCCCTAATGAGTTCCAAATGCAAGTTTCAAGATGGTCATCCAACTAACCACTAATTACTAACAATTAACTTTACTTTATGCTTTTATTTTCATGATTTATGTACCATTTACTTTTAGCATTTTACATTTCATGCTATTTTCATCTTTGCTCACTTGAGCATTTACTTTTATGTCATTTTTATTTTGCTCACTTGAGCTTTTCTTTCTTTTTAAAGACACCTAATAATCAACATGAACCATAAAAATCATTAATGATACTTGGACTACATGGTTACTATCCTTTGCATTATGGAGTGATGGACTTCTTGGACTTAGGACTAGAGACCTTGGCCTATCTTGGAGACTTTGTGACCTTAATTCATTATTTTGTTTGGAGTTCTTGAGGTTTACCTCAAGACATTGGGTTGTTTGTTTGTTTTGTGTGCAGGTTATTGTGATTACATACTTTATTTGTAATTTGGAATTCACCCGTATACAGCCGTTACTCTACCCAATTTTTGCGAAGACTAAATACACTTGAAGTTTGATTCTCTCGAGAGGTCTAGTATCTTTGCTTGCTTGGTTTCAATCCGAAGAATGGGAATTCTATATTGACTCATAATGTCAAGTATTGGCTTCTTGTTGGTTAAATGGTTCTTATCCCTAGCTTTTACCTTATGCTTTAGGATAGCCTCTTCTTCTCCTCCCATCTTCTTTAATTTCAAAAATCTTCTCCCTCCTTAAAAAAAATTCTTCTTGTTTTGAAACATGAAACATTTTCATAATAAACTTTGACTTAGGTCCATGCATCTTTGAAACATTTTCATAAATAAATTTCAATCAATTTAATAATACCTTGACCTTTTTTTTGTGAGAAGACTAAAAGTCAATCAATCTCATTTCAAACCATTTTTGCCACTTTGGCTTTTATCTTTAAACTTTTCTCAAAAGATTAGACTCTTGTCAATCCTTGTAGTGATGCAAACAACTATACTTCTACAATATGTAGTGAAGTGAGATATTTTCCACTTGGGTGTTGAGTGAGGCATTGTTGATTTTAAAATCCAAGCCATATCCTCCACTTTGAGATGATGCAAATTCTCCTTTCTCATGATTGTGAGTAGTAAGTATGTTTTTCACACGGACAATTGCAATGATGTCTTATCTCATAAAATCAACCAACACACTTTTGTTTCAAATTTTTAAAAGATGAACAACGTGTACCCTGATCCCCTATTGCACGAAAGATGGTACGTAGGCACTAAAGGTTCGCAACCGCGGCGGGTGCAAAAATCATAAAAATATTTCTTTCCTCACCTCCACCATCCATTTTATATACAACACATTTTTATAGCCAAAATATACAGATTTTTTCAAAGAGGTTCTTGCGGAGTACCGTAGATGTTTAGGGTGCTAATATCTTCCCTTTGCATAACCAACCCCCTTACCTTGAATCTTTCCCTCTCTTTTTGGGTTATTCGCTCTTTTCCCATTCCTTTGGAAACAATAAAGCGCGGTAGCAATTTTTATTTTGATTTGTATAAAGTCTAGTCAATCCAATGGCTTAGTCTTGCACATTTCTACCGCTACAGAAAAAATGGAGACTTCACTGGGTAAAGATTGACCTCTTGCTGGTCCATCCCTAAGTGGGTTAAACCTATCTTTGTTTATATCTGTATATGTGCTATTTTTTGTTTATGTGTTATATTTTGTATATATGTTTGTCTGGATTTTCCTGGTTTACAGGGTGCTTGGTGATTACTCATAAGTCCTATACCCGGACTTGGACAAACTTTAAGATAGGACGGGTGGTATAGTCATGTTAACTTTGAGGGAGTAATCCCAAAAAAGGAGGCATGAGATCCCCCACTCAGTGGAGGCCCCTTTGACTGTAGTATCGTTTACCGAGTAATCGGGAAGACGTACTGCTTTCGACCTGGGAGCCTGCGAAGCTGAGGACCGTAGATTACCTAACCCCTCTTGGCCTTTTAGGTGTAGTGCGGAAGCTATGACGGAGTAATCCGGAAGTAGTTGTCACGCGATACTACGCTCGGACGAGTCTTTCTTGAGAATATTACTAATTACCGAGTTAATTGGGAAGTTGGTAATATCCGAAGGAAGGATGTAGACTCTGGGAACCTCTAGAACCTTGTTCGGCAGGTGATAACTTTTTAGACCAATACCTTATAGGTAGTACCTTCGACCTCATGCTCGTGACGTTGAACCTATG